CCGGAAACCACCTGACGTCGTTGCTCCACCAGACCACTATTTGATGTTGTTGCTCTGCCGGACCACCACTTGAGTTGAAGCCCTCACCTCCACCGGAACACCGCCCGCCTGACCACCACTTGAGGCCCTCACTTCCATCGGACCATCACCGAGGTCCGGACTTCCGTCGGACCACTGCCTGAGGCCCAGACTTCCACCGAACCACCACCTAACGACCAGACTTCTGTCGGACCACCACCTGAGGCCTAGACTTTTGCTAGACCAACACCTGAGGCCCGAACTTCGATTAGGCAATCACCTCATGCCCAGAGTTCTACCAGAGTACCGCCTTACTACTATCGACCGCCGACTATAATCCTTCCGACCTCCGTCACCTACTACGGTTCTTCCGACCAACATCGCCAGACAAATGGTATTTCTGACTCCGGTCTCCTAACTACTTCGGTCTTTCTGACCCATGTCTCCTTCCTACTACGATCTTTCAGACCATTATCTCCTACTGATTATGGTGCTTCCGACCTCCATCACCAGACAATGGTCTTTCTGACCCCGGTCTCCTGTCAACTACGATCTTTTAGACCCCTGTCTCGTGCTAACTATGGTCATTCCAACTAAACAAACATGTCTATTTTGTTATTGTAACTCCCACCATGTAATGCACTCTGTATGACGCACATTTGTAATTCAAGCCAAGGCCTTCTCCCTAAGAACTAGGCCAGGTCCCGTGATTTTTTACCCTTTTCAGGGGTTTCCACGTAAAAACTCTTGTGTCTCTTATGAACGCAACACACTCTCATTTTTACCTGTGCGCATGTTGGATCTTTGTACAACGTTAAGACGTTAAACTATATATTTCTCTGCCGCCGTGAATGCTCCAGGACACAACAATATGTTCACTCATAATTTTAAAAATTCTTTATGGAAGGAAAGATCTAAGTAGTAAGCATTAGCTATAACTCGGGCTACCATATCGAAAGGGAGTCGATCACATTGTTATCTTTAAAAGAGATAGTAGTTAAGGAGGTCTCAAAATGTGTCATAAGCCATGTCTCTACAATCCTTGTCATAGAAGATCAATAACTCTATCAAGTTATATTCGTCAACTTTAGTCTACCCAAATCAACCCTCAATCAACTCTGGTCTACCTAATTAATAGGTCAATCAACCCAAGTTAAATTGAGGGTGACTTAAATTCTTGACAGAATGACACAAAGATTGGACAATAACAAAGGAAAGGTGAAACTTGAAATTAATTGACCTTATGTACTTGGCTACTCAAGCCTATATGCATTGCGTACTTTGCTACTCAGCAACACAACATCAACTCATCTGCCACAACCATGCAAGGATTGGCAAAGTTTATAAAATTGCAAACCCTGTAACTGCTTATCGTAGAGTAATAAGTCAAATACTCACCCTTATGTAGTTAACTAATAGGTTGTGATTGCTCATATAATCATCATACTGTAATACAGGCTTTATGTCGCTTAAATTATGATGTAAACTAGGGGTGTCAAAATCGAGTCCAGGGTCTGATTTTTGTCGAACTCGAGTTGACCTGAGTTTAAATGGGTCAACTCGAACCTGACCAATTTTTGTAAACGGGTCAGGTTTTTCAATCTGGACCTGACCCACACGGGTTACCGAGTTGACCTGGCCCGACCCGTGGACCTGGTAATAGCAGCTGCAAAGGCTCGGCAACACCGCCAACGGCACGATAGCGATGGCATCAGCTCTTCAGCGGTGCGGCAACGGTGGTGCCACAGTGGACAGTAGACGTGGACGGATATTAGTGGCAGTGGCGGCAAGGCAGCTGGAGACGCAACGGCGACATGTCTTGACTCACACGAAGAGATGGCGACGTGACCTTGACTCACTCGAAGACGCGACGGGCAACGCGGTTACTCGACGCATGCAGACACGTTTTGGGGTCATTTTTTAGTTTCCAGATCAACCAGAACCCAACTCATTTTTTTCAAACGGGTCGAATCCGGGAACCCAAAGCCGACCGTTTTCGAAATTGAGGTGGGTTTAACCCAAAATTTTCGTGTCAGGTTCGAGTTAGGTTTTTGTGTCGAGTCAAATATTGACACCCGTACTATAAATCTCTCAGTGAATTGCTACAAAATCTTGAAGTATGTCCTAACACAACTCTACAAAATAAATATGCTTCAAATTTTCTAGATTTTATACACGAAAATTAATATAATTTAAAATATCATATAGAATAATAATCTCAATATAAATTCAAAACCTTTAAAGCCCGAAAGCTACGCAATTTATTTTTCTTTCCAAATTTCATAAAACAACTCATATTAAACAACATTTTAGGGAAAGGCCAATAAGATTAATGACCTTAAATTCATTATCAATTAACCCATTGATGAATTTTTCTATGTTATTTTTTTGCTTTTTTTCCTACCTATTTTTAATACCAAATGATGAACAGATACTTCTAGAAACTCTCACCCAATTCCAAAGCTTAGGTTGAGTAATCACCAATTATTAATTATAATTTTAATAGTTCATAATTAAATATGTTTATTAGTAGAGTAGTCATCAAGGCAAAAGGGACCAACCGATCGGCCTAATTACTTTTATTAAGACAAATGGAGGGAGTTCAGCAAATTATTTTTATCAAATTTATTAAAATATGATCAAAGATAGGTCGAATATATTTGATTAATGGTGCATCTCTTACTTTTGCTTGGAGTTTAGTTAAACGGTGGTTAAGAAGTTAAGTATAATTTATAAATTTTAATGGTGTTGCAGTGTGAGAATTTTGCTTATTAGAATTATTATTTATTTATTTGTGATAGGATTTAAAATTGAAAATATTTAAATTTTTTATTATTACTATTAACTTAATATCATAATTGAATAAAATACTACATTTTTATAATCTTCAAATAATAGAGATAGAAGAGGGAGATTTTTCAAATAATTAATTTTGGATGCTACTTTGAAGAAATTATGTAAGGCAGGCATCTGCCATCTAAGACTTCTGACAAGATCTTAGATTTTGTTTGGGATAATTTTCTTACTGCTTCTTAAAACAATTTTTTATTACAAAAAATTTAATTTTTGTATTTAAAAGTTGTTTTAAGAAGTAGTAAAAAAGTTTTCCCAACATAGCCTAAATGGCAATAATAAAAAAGAAGGTTTGATCATTGATATATTATTAAAAAATTATCTTGATCATGCACGAATCTCGAAGCAAAATAAAGTTAAAAAAACTTTCAAAATTAAATCTTGGATTATCTGAACTCCGATTTCAGCAAATTTATAGCCGAACTGAACGTCTCAAAAATACATACCCAACGACACCAAATTCAACTCAATTTGAGCCCAAATGGGTCCAAAATGAAAACCCAAAGCACATTTGAAAAGTTTAAACCATAAATTGGATGACCAAACGATTTCCAAATGTGACATGCTTATAGTCAAATCGAGCAGCTCGACGAGACAGATCCAATAAGCCCAAGATTGTCAAATTATGATATCATTAAGACATTCAAATGCCCAATAAATGGACCATGGTCAATGGGATCAATATCAGTCATCCATTCAAACCATTCCAACTTATCCTTAATTTGCCTCCTATCTATTGGTCATGACACTCTAAAAAAACTATAAATAGACTCATCATTTCTCATGGAAGAAAATGAAAAAGAAGGAAGAGAAATAAATAAGAGTTCTCTTGCACAAAACTCCTCCTCGACCAATGCCCAACCATCAACCATCGTCGGACTTTTGCTCGGCCACCGATTGACGCCGGACTTCTGTCCGGCTGCTGACAAACTCTGGACTTTCGCTCGGCCGCCAATTGGCCAGATTTCTGCCCGACCACCGAACTTCACTAGATTTCTGTCTGATTTCTGCTCGTCACTAGATTTCAACCCGAAGTTTGATTGTTGTAATTTAATCGTTCTCAATTTCAAAAACGAACCAGTTATTTGTAATCTATTCAAATTTTAGTTGAATCATTTTAATTGGGCGTCTCCCCGTGATTTTTACCATTTTCAAGAGTTTTTCACATAAAAAAATTATGATGTATATTTTTCCTCTATTTATGTGATGGATACTCGTGCAACGCTAAGAGAAACTTTTTTTCTTACTTTACCGCCGTAAACACTCTAGCCCGCAATAATCATCATGATCAAACCCCATTCTAACCTAACTTCGAATCTTTATTTTGAAACAAATAATCATTCTAATTAAGAAAAACTCATAAACATATCATATATACAAAACTCGACTTTAAAATTTCTTAATTAATAGTCAAAACTCTCAATCAAAAAATTTAAATAAGCTACCTTCTCCTACTATTAAGAGAAATAACGGTAGTTGTGCAGCTTATATTTTTTAAAGAATTTTATAAATATAATAATAAGTGAGTAGTTTATCATCTCAATTAATTTTGATTTTGAAAGAAATAAATATTTTTTAAAAACTCACATACCTTGTTTGGTAGGACATCTTTAATTTTTTTTCCTCCCTAAATCCAGCACTTCACGGCACGTGGACCTGGTCCACAGCCCTCCCTCCACTGTATTTCGGCTATTTCCCCCCCGCAGAATATACGCACGATTTTCATTTATGAATTTTATTTCTATGCGCCCTCCCAAGTCCATTCCATCTACACACGTCACCTAACAAAACCGCAGGTCCACACGTGGACGGCGATCCTGCCCCAACCCCTCCGGTCTACAAAAGCCCGACTCGACTCCACGCCGGTCCAAATTCAAATCTCCGGTCGTGGGCCAATATCTTTTACCCTAGCATCACGACGACCACGTGCACTACCAAATTCGATCGTGGCCGTCCACGTCTTTCTCGAAAATCCACGTCGTGATGAGACTGCGGCACGGGCCTGTACTTTATTCACACGTGTCATGCATCGCTCGCCTTTTCTCAATCCAACGGCCAATTTTTTCTCATCGACCAAACAAAATTCCTATTAATAATTCTGAACCCCTGAGCGTTCTCTCCTTCTCCGACTGCGACTATCGGAGAGAGAGAGAGAGGAGGAGAAAGAGATGAGGAAGGAGATAGTTTTGCCGGCGATGAAGGGAGGGGAAGAAAAGGAGGTTTCTCTGTGCAAGAAGGCGCAGTCGGCGAGGTTGCGACGTATGCATCTGCGGCAGATGAAAGCCGCTGGAGATGTGGCGGATGCGCCGGTAAAGAGGATGCGAGAAGAGGAGGATAGATCGATGTCTAGTTCTTCTTCGGAGTCCACCTCGCCGTCGTCAGCAGAATCAGGGCTGTCTGATCATGGGTGCGTGTCGCTGATCGGACGGCGGAGGGAGATGGAGGATGAGGTGTCTATCGAGCCTGCGTTCGTGGGCCGAGAGTATGATTTTTTCGCGGTGTATGATGGGCACGGGGGCGCGGCGGTAGCTAGGGCTTGTCGGGAGAGGATGCACGTCGTGTTGGCGGAGGAGGTGGTGGAGATTGAGGAGGGGAGGGAGGAGGAGAGTAAGTGGAGGGAGGCGATGTTGGCTAGCTTTGCGAAGGTGGATGGGGAGGTTTCAGCTGTGGCTGCGGATGGAGAGGAGGCGGCTGAGAGAACTATGGGGTCGACGGCGGTGGTGGCGGTGGTGGGGACGAGAAGGATATTTGTGGCCAACTGTGGGGATTCGAGAGCGGTTCTCTGTCGTGGAGGAGTCGCTGTTCCGCTCTCCACTGACCACAAGGTTTTGCTTCGCGCCAATTTTCTAAGAATTATTTGACTTGCTTACATGCTTGCTGCTGATTTTGTTGTTGAAATTTTCAAATACTAATTTTATAAATAATATATATAACTTTCATTGAAAGAATTTAAGTGTTCGTCAATTACGATGATATGTAAAGGTGCTCTAGACTGTTTGATCTTTTTAAAATAATGCCATAATTCCCAAAAAAAAAAATAATGCCATATTGTGTAAATTAGGTAACATTGTCAAAAAGATATTTATATTTTTGCTAAGATTTATATCTGAATAATATTGATGGATTTTTGGATCCCCTTCATTTAGCATTGAAAACTATAGGGATGCACCTGTCATATTCAGATGTCCAATCTAGCTACTTCGAGCACTTGGATTAAATTTATTAAACTAATGTGATCTTCTTAAAATAAAAATTAATGAATGTAATCCTAGCTGCTCAAAGTGAATTGGACTAATAGGATGAGTTAACTGCACCTCTCCAGTTTAGATCTAAATCCCATTGAACGAGTTTAAAATAAAATATTTCTACTTTGTGCTTGCTTCTCATTAGCTGTTATTACTGATGCGTTTATTCCTGAAATTCCTTTGCCTTTTTTTTTCCATTGTTAGGTTATTTGCCATTTTTTCTATGATTAGGCTACATAGTTATAACTGCTGGTTTATATTTCATAAATTATAGATGTGGGAATCATGTTTATGACAGTGTCCTTCTAATTGGCAGCAATTCAATAATATTATTATTTATTAATGTAAACATATGAAAACCATTGTAATGGGCTAATCCAGTATGGGTCATTGGGGAGCCCCCACTAGTTTGTATTTTCTCATTGCGTTGCTTTGTTTCTTTACTTGGATGTTGAGAAATAGGTGAAACCTAAGCAAACTCATTCAAAAAAAAAACAATAAATGAATAAAACACTTAAAAAAAAGGTTAGCACAACAAACAAGGACAATATTTATTATTATTTATTAATGTTTAAACATATGAAAACCATTGTAATGGGCAAATCCAGTATGGGTCATTGGGGAGCCCCCACTAGTTTGTATTTTCTCATTGCGTTGCTTTGTTTCTTTACTTGGATGTTGAGAAATAGGTGAAACCTAAGCAAACTCATTCAAAAAAAAAACAATAAATGAATAAAACACTTAAAAAAAGTTTAGCACAACAAACAAGGACAATATTTTATATAAATTTGTCCAATTGATGGCATATTGGCATGTAACGTTGCAGCACTGTAGATTTTAGTAGAATTTATTATTGAGAATTACAAACTTAATTTTTTAGGAAAATATGATTCCGCCTCACTTTCAATAAAAATAAAATTCCGAAGATGCCATTATTGAAACTTTTTATTATATATTAAAGTCTATTGGATCAAAATGATGTTTTGGATTGTAAATTTTATGCATGATACATTGATTTTTCTTTATTGACTATTATTTAGCTTATTAGTCTTTTTATCCTTTTCTTTTTTGGTTATTTCAATCAAAAGAGTAACTCTAACAAAACTTTTCTGTTTTAAAAGAATATGAGACCAATTCTACAAAAGTGGCTTCCAAATTAAAGGGTTACGTTTTCTATTTAAAACCTATTCTTGCTACACTTCTGCATACAATTTGTGCAACACCCATGAGCCCAAACCCATTTCATACCCAACTTTCTATAAACCCATTATGCACACACCTGTGACCCTGCATCGAACCTAACCAGTTTTGTTCTTTATTTGAAACTGATGTTCTTGCTTGAAATCAGCTGGATTTTTTTTTTTAACAATTATTGAACTGAAAGTCGCCTTAGATGGTTTGGTCACATAAAACGGCGGCTTTGTGATGACCCGGTTAGGAGAGTAGAGGTATTAGATTTAACTTATGTTAAGAAAGGTAGGGGTAGACCTAAAACGACTTGGTTAGAAAATATTATGAATGACCTTTCTTTATTAGATTTAAACGAGAATTTGACTTTTAATAGGACACAATGGAGAAAAATGATTCATGTAGCCGACCCCACGTAGTGGGATAAAGGCTTGATGTTGTTGTTGTTGTTGTTGTAATTATTGAACTGAAAATTCACAATCAATTGACTTCTGAACCTTCACCATCATGAAGGTGAGCAAAATTCCAAACTGCTAGGTTATTAAGCCGGCCATAATCAGCTGGAATTTGTTAGCTGGATCATCGAAACCTTAAACTAGTATGAGGTGTTGTGGTCTACTTTTCTGCTGTAAGATTTTTGTTTGAGATTTGGTTTAATTATTATGTATGGTATTAAAATAAAGATTGCATCCTTTCAAGGAAATGAGTCAAACTTTGGGACATTTAATTTTTTTAAATTTAGTGTCTAGAAGCAGTTGAGCCTATGCAGGCTTCATTCTAATGATTGATAATAATTTATTACAAGTATTTGGGCCCTAGTTTTGACTATTACGTCATCACTCACACCTATTTTTATAGCTTTTGGTCTCAAGTCTACTTTACTTATTTGGTTTTTGAAAAACAAAGACTATTTAACTTTCGCTTGTCATTTTCTTTCCTATCTTGTTTTATCTCTATTATTCATAAAATTACAATCTGAAACTATTCTACTTTCCTATTCTCAATAAAGCCTATTTGTTTGGGCATAGTTCTATTATTGGGTTGCCTACCTAGTATGAACCATCAATCTTTCTCATCCAAACTTGGGATAAGATACAGTTAGCTTTTGTCTAGGCGCATGGTTTTGGAGGTATTAAAGTGTTATGGAGGTAAAAAGGTCATGCCTCTACTTATCGGTGAAAGTAGGCTACTTAAGTTTCTTTGTTAGTTGATCGAAAGAAGAAATATCACTGTTCTGGAGCTTTATATACAGCAATCTAGATTCTTTTGGGGGTTTTAATGGGAGTATGAACTAGGATGCTACTGTGACTCCTGGATGAAAACAGTCTGATAATTTACATGGTGCTATTTTTTTATTAGGCAAGTCATTTAAGCTTTAGTTGATCTTGATTCTTCTACTGCAATTTAGGCTTATGTCTAGGTTTTTGAAAGAAAGTTATCTTTATTCATATATTGGATCAAATAATTGCTTTTAAAGGAGCACGCATGATTGTTCTAGCTTCTATCATCTTGATTCTAATTGCAAGCCCTATTTTACGTGAGTTTATTTTGTGCGGACACCGAACGCAGTTCACCGTCCGGAGACTAACCAGAATGCACCACGTCACCCAGCGGTACCGAACCGCGGTATAGGAGGTGATATGGCGCATTCTGATTGGTCTCCGTACGGCGTTCGGTGTCCGCACAAAATAATTTCACCTATTTTATACCATCGAGTATGTTGTCTACTTGAACATGCGATTTCCATGGATAAGTTTGCAAGATTTCAGATATTTATGTACGCTCGGCTTACTTGCATGGTTAGATCATTAGACTTTTTGTGGTAAACTTTTTAGATCTACTTCATCTCAGGACATAAATATGAAGTTTTGTCATAGATAATTAGTTGACTAAAATAATCTTTGCTTAGAAAGTAAAACTTATTTATATTTATTGTAAATAAGGGATACTGCTCTCTTGATTAGAGCAATATTGCTTAAGTTCTCTATCGATTGCAGCATAGAATAATGAGTTAATTCGGCCTTTTTTATTTTTTTATATTCGCCTTCTCTCCTTAGATGTCAGAAATACTAAAATATACGTGTCTTCCAAACTACACAGCCTAACAGACCTGATGAACTGGAAAGAGTAGAAGCAGCAGGAGGAAGGGTCATCAATTGGGATGGTTATCGCATCCTAGGAGTGCTATCCACTTCCCGATCTATAGGTATGCAGAGATCTTATGAATATCATGTGGAGTAGAGATTTTTTGCTATTGGCATTTAGTATACACAATTGTGGACAATTCAAGGTTCTAACCCAACGTTGAAAATTTCGTTCGTAATGCTATTATATATAGAAATTATTATTATGGGGGATTATTCCATTTCTCGTGGAGTTTTGATGTTCATTATGGTAAGATCCAATTAAGACTTGGAGATTAGTTCCGTATGAAAAAGTAAAGCAATAGTTAATTTTCTAATACAGCAGTAGTAGCTATCATCCATTGGCTTTAACTTTTGAGTTGACAGATGTTTAATATGGGCCCCTGATTTTTTACTTTTCTGAAGTGATATGAAGTGATGATTTGATTGGGGAATCAATTGCTTCATGGGTTTTGTGACTCCAATCAGTCTTGTGATAGGAAATGCTGGAGATCGCAAGAAATCCAAGAGGAAATACTTGAGTTGGCAAACAACCCTAGCGATAATTGGTAAAAACAGCGGGAATAATGCAAAAATATGAATGAAATCACTCCCAAAACGATAGATTGTAATATTGGGGAATCAAAGCCAAACAAACACAAAGCAAGATCCAAGTGATCCTCAATTCAAGAGGAGGATCGGTCTCTCCCAAATCTCTAGACAAGGAGTCTAGAGCCCAAGACACCAAGGAAGCTTCAAGAGAACACAAATCAAAACATGCATAACCCTAACCCTAAATAACCAATACTATTAATACAATAATTCCCTAATTCAAAATTCTCTCCAACGTCTAGCCGCCCCTCTCTCTCTCCTTAATTTGCTTCCTAGTGGGGTCCACTAGGCTTGGGCGGCATTCATTGGGAGGGGGCGGGTCCCCCTCCGGTAGAAAGAGCCAGCCCAATGAGAACCGGCCCAACATCTTGATATCTTTTATTATAGTTGAGCAATATTTTGAGTTGTTTTTTTTATATAATTTAATATGTGATATTGTTAAAAAAGTTTTTATGTGAGAGAGAGATGGTAGTGAAAATAGTGGTAAGCATACTTATTAGTTTAAGATTTTAATTTGATTGATTTCCATCTACTAGTGAGTGTACTTAGGTCTCTTATGTGACTTACCTTCATACACTATTATACTTAGGAATATTCTCATATTTCAAAATTAGCAGCTGTAACACAGCAAAATGGTTGCCCGGAATGTCTAATCACCAATTCAAAACATGGGAAGAAATCCATTTATCAAGCCAATCAATTTTAGATTGTTTCCACACCATTTTGTCCCTACAATGTTGACCATTAGATGACACGATACCTGTTACTTGTACCGAGTGAAATCTTTATAGAAATTATGACGGTGGGAAGTGGAATATTAGGTGGTCTGTGGGGTCGACTTTTCTCTTTTCCCTTTGGCACTATCGACCGACCATTATGAGTTTATTTGATAGGTTTTTGTATGGTTTCTAATCACGTAACGTGTTTCTTTTCGCTTTAGAGTTGTTAGCTTCGAATCTCAAGAGTCAATACCCTATTTGGTAAAACTTGAAAGGGAAATGAGAAGGACAGAAATTAAAATAGGTAGAAGATTTGAAATGAACTGAGCTTTCACCATTCCTTTTTGGTTGAGGGATCCAGTGAATTTTATTATTATTAGGTTGATAAGAATTTTTTTTTTTTTCATTTTAGAAGGACATGGGAGTAATAATGTTGACCCAATATAATTTTCTTCCTATTTAACTTTTCATTAGGAATTTAGGATGGAGCAGAGAACTTTTAATGAATATATATTCACATTTTCTAGGTAAACTGAATTACTAATGAATTACATTGTAAATAAACATTAAAGATAAAGCTATGAATATATACTCTCGAATTAAACTAGACCCAGGTTGGCTTTGTTACAGTAGGCTCAAACCCCAGGCAATTCAATTTGCATTCTAGATCTGGAGCCCAATTCTGAAGATCAGCCAGACCTGGTCATTTAGTTCACTTTATCGAGTCAGTACTGTACTGACTCGTTGGGTCGGGCCAGGCCAACTAATTTTGAATTCAGGTTGAAAACATTGTTGAAGTCCATTTGTCGAGGAATTTAGTTCCGGATGAGCATGCTCACGGTTGGTTCTCTAGTCTAATGCTTCGTTTGGGATAGACAGCTTTCTTACTGCTTTTTAAACCAGCTTTCTATACAAAAATTTCTAACTCAACATTTTTTTAAGCTAAAAAAAAATAATTTTAAAAAGCAATAAGAAAATCTTTTTTTACTCGTTCATAATCTACTATAAATGTTTTCTCAACTATTTCATAAGCTTTAGGCTTCGTTTGGGACAGCTTTCTTACTGCTTCTTAAAACGGCTTTTCAGCTATCAACTCCATACATCCTTAAGCAAGATGATGAATTGATGATTATATTGCTGCAGGGGACTATTACCTGAAGCCCTATGTGACAGCTGAACCGGAGATAACAATGACAGAGCGGAACGAGAAGGACGAGTTCCTCATACTCGCAAGCGATGGCTTATGGGACGTTATCTCCAGCGAAGTAGCCTGCAGAATTACAAGACAGTGCTTGTCTGGACAGGCCGCGAAGCTTTTTCCTCATATGGTGAGCGGGCAATCAGCTGCTGAAGCAGCTCATCTACTGGCCGAGCTTGCTATGTCGCAAGGCAGCAGAGATAATATAAGCATCATCGTTGTGCAGTTGTTGAAGTAAGCCCAGTAACGTTTATTACGTTCTGTTCTGAAGTTTTTTAATAAGAAGAAGAGAAAATTGTTAAAATAGTTCCTGGGTTTTTTCTGTGTGGGTTGTTTCAGTTTCAATTACTTAATTTGTTTAGTTTAGTTACCAGATTTCTTAAATATGGGGGACTAAATTGAATAAATTAGAGTGTGGAACTAAATGACTCTTTAGGAATAATTTAGGGATTATTTTGATCTTTTTCTCAGGAAATGGAGGAGGAAGAGTTAGTGTAAGGTTGTTGTAGGAGAGAGGGAGGGTTGAATGTGTTTTTGAGGCTAAGGCTTCTTTGATGGTTTAACCTGGCTGGTTGGGTTGGTGGGTGTATAGAGGCTTTTGTTTTGGAGAAATTATTTTGTGCGGAGTTCATACGTAATTCGTGTCAGGACTCTAATGAAATGAAGTCATGTGGCTTGCACACACCTTGCGTACGAGTTATAAATAGGGCGTGTACGAGCAATATGATTTCGTTTTATTGGAGTTCGGATGAAAAGTTATGTCTTTGTACAGAATAATTTCTCGTTGTTTTTAGAGTTATATCAAATTTTTAATTAATGTAATTTCTAAAATTCCCAAATTGTTGAGGTTTTTTTGTGTCAAAGATGATATCTTGCCTTTGCCAACTGGTTGAACAAGAATTTAAGAAGCAACACTGCAAGGTTACCTGAGAGCTTGTTTGCTCCTTGAATTATTTGCCTGCTGAAAAAGAAAGAAAAAAATGTGTAAATAGATTTGAAGTTTATTGAATTTATTGTATGTTTGTAAAAGTTTTTATTGCATTAATTTAAAAGTAAAAGTGGTAATTTTTAAATATAGTTTCATATAATTTGTATTAAGATATTTGGATGTATTTTTTGTTTATGAAAATGAAACTCTTTAAAGGTGAGATATGCCATTTTGGTTGAACTTTGATCTGTTCATTAAATGTTATTTGAAACATAACTATTCGAAAATTCTAATATTTTATTAGTATATAATGATTTAATTAATATTTTGTTATTTGTAATTATTTATAATTAATGTATAATAATATTAATAAAAAATAAAATTTTATTATGAGTGATTCGATTAATTTAAAAATATATCTTACAAAAATCCTTTAACAAGTAATTATTAATTTCAGTTAAATTTTTGTATTTTATTTAAATATTTAACATCTATATTAACCTAAGGCTACGGCTGATCTGAACTTTAAAAAATGCAATTTTTATTTAATAGCCGTGATTATCAGTACATGATTGAAGTCAATAAACGTTTGAAATTTGCTGGAAATTGGAAAATTTGAGCAGATCAGCTTCAACAGACCAAATTATCGATATATAAGTTTGAAATTCACCGGAATTTCAAAATAATTGAGCAAAAACTGATTGATTTATTTTGAGTTTAAAATAATTTATTGAACCAATCAAAATTCTATATTATAACTTTTACATTGAATTTAAATGTTTAGCTATTTTTTTTCCTAGGGATGTTAATGCACAAACAAACTCAAACTTAGGGGTGTCAAGAAGGGTCGGATTTGAATCCAACTTGACCTGACCCATATCTAACCGGGTCAACCCAAACCTAACCTGCATGGCACAAACAAACTCGACCCGTGCAGATTATCAGGTTGACCCAACCCGACCCACAAACCCTCTTGCAATCCCATTTTAAGCTGCCATTGTGATTCCGGTGACCGGACAAGACCAAGTCATGGCAATAATTGGAACCCCTACTCAAACCCAACCCAAAATTTTCCCGGTTAAGAGTTTTATATTCTAACATAGGAATGTCAATATTCGACACGGCGAAGCTAACCCAAAAATTATGAGTATGTGTTAACATGTTTGAAAAACAAATCATATTCGAGTTTTATATTTTAACTCGAGTGTATTTTCGAGTCTGAGTTAAGCTCAACCCAAAACACAATCGTCCTATCATCCATCGCACTCATCCCTTCGCCCTATCATCTGTGCTCGTGTGTAGCGCTCACGCAACAGGACCGCTAGCACTCAGACTAGCATGTCGAATCGTGCTGATCAGGTTGCAGTTGGGTTGAATTTGGGTGCAAACTTCTAACCCATTTAACTAATCATGTCAAGTTTAGGTCAGACAAGTGAGAGCCATGTTAATTCTACGTTAAACCCGAACCCAACCCTAAAATCCATTTTGACACCCCAATATTCTTTCCTTAAAATCATTGGGTCCACATTGGCCTTTCTAAGAAGGACCATACAAAAAAAAAAATGTTGATATAATGAAAATTCATAGCACATAAAATTTAAATGGGTACCATAAATAACATTTCATTTAACTTTAAAGCATAACTGAATCGCCCTTCCATACCAAGAAAGTAAACTGCATAGCGTTCGAAAACAAAGACCAAAACTATGAATCAAATGCTAAAGGTTGAGATCAGCTATTAACTAAATCCATGTAGACCGCATCAGCAACGCAGCAGCGTGAATGCCCCCTGAAAATAAAAAAAAGGGGCAATTTAGTTTGACTGAAACTATGTATTTACAAAAGAAAAATGCATACCTCAATCATACAAATGTCATGCAAGTTTTCATACATTCATATCATTCAAAACAAAGCAAAATGAAATATTCAACTTACACTTAAATTCTTAATGAGTTCTGTTCACACAGGCTGCTAACAAAGGAGAAATTTTTCTGTTTTCTGTGGAGACCGGATGCAGAACGCCGTCCGGAGATCAACCAGAATGCACCGCGTCAACAGTACCGAGTGGCGGTACCTAGCATAGGGGTGACGTGGTGCATTCTGATTTGTCTCCAGACGGCATTCGACGTCCACACAGAATAACTAATCCTAACAAAAGGCACTATCGCACCCCTATCACCCGCAAATTTGAGAGTTCATTTTTAAAAACTCGTGTAAGCAAAAAGGGTAACACATTGAATTGTGCCACAAAAACAATGGAGCTGCAGCATTCCATTAATTCAAATGTCTACTATTTGTTAAAACATAGTAAATACTTATTAAGATAGTTAGACTTCATTTGTGATGTCTTTTTTACTGCTTCTTAAAACATATTTTTAGTACAAAGATGCTTTAAGACGCAGTAAAAAAAGTAGTCCCAAAAAAACCTTTATTTATGAACAAGCATTAATTATTAAGCACGGACTATGTAAATAACTCTCTTTTTTTTCATTTAGGCCGATTAAGATAAACTCAAGCACAACATATACGTAAATTTCAAACTCAAAATCTCTTGATTGGTAGCAAAAGCTCCCAACCAACTGATCAAGATGAGCTACATTGCATCTAACTCTCAGTGCAAACATCAAGAGTCCATAATTGCATACTCAGTTAGGTGTTCACAGCTACTACTCCTATGATGCAACCATATCAAGTACACATCAATATATATACAACTTTATACTCTAATTAAATAGTGTCCACATCAATGTACTCTGTGATCAACCGCTCTCTACGTGTGCTCCTGTAGTCAACAGCTCTACGCATAGAGATGCATGCTCTGCATGTCACAAGAAACAAAGCACCAAAGTGGGACTGAATGGACTTACAAACCCAACCCGTATTAAATCTATATAGAAGTTGACCGAGTCCCAAACCTAAGAGCCCGCTCAACCCACATTTGTTTTGGGTTTGATTCCCGGTCAGAATTCTCAAATCAACCTGATCTAACCTGACCTACCAACTTAACCAGATCAGTCTGGATATTTCCTAATACTAACATCAACCTGACAGAGAACTGTGTATCCAATTTAGCTTCTAGGGCCTCTTAGCCAAGAGGCTCAGGAATATAATAAGATCAGGGTAATAGATGAATTAAATCCAGCCTATATTAAAAAAAATATAGATAAACCAAAAAAAAAAATTAGAAAGTATTAAAAATCTTAGCCAAATGGTTCAAAAGATCACTAGTTTAACCGCCACTTGATCTAAACAGTATGTACTAAGGAAATACTATAATATAATTAAAACGCATGTAAAGTGAATTAAAGCAAATTTGACTTTAACCAAACAAAAGATGATTCATCAAAAGACTCGTTAAACATGAGCCATATCACCAAGGAATTGAAACTTGTAAGAGACGAAATCGCATATCATTGCAACTTCCTCGCTGACAATTATTGCAAACTTTGTAAGATGGTGCTATAAGTCTATAACAGGCAACCAAATTAAAAATTCGATAATGGATCCACCTAAGCCTCCATAATCTACTGTTACACAACAATAAAATGTGGCAAAGCACCACAAAAAACAATCTCAAACAATAACAAGAGCAATTGGAATCTATATACCCGAATTGAAAGAATTCAGATACGTTGAAATGATTCATTTCATACTTTTAAGGGTTTAGATTTGTGCATAGTTATTCTGTCTCCTGGAGAATAATTCATGTGTTAAAACATGCAAACTTTTTTGCATCAATGCACAAGTCTCTTAGTGTTCACATCAATAATAGAGATGCTAATAGCTACAACAATAGTAGTTTCAGAAAACAAGATTAGAATGAAAGTTAATGCATGAGTCCAACATCTATCAATAGTAGTGGATCTCAAATAATAATTTCAAGAAAATAACATTAGCATGAAAATATAAGAATCTTATAGATTATGTTGGGTATGAATTTCAAAGGAGGTGGTGTTAAAATATAAAAAACCGAAGCATTGGTTAACACTTTATGATATGAAGCCAAATAACATTAATTAAAACTTAAATAATGCCAATTTTATTATGATATTTCTAACTTATTTGCATCATTAATGTTATCCTTAACCTATATATTTAGGATTGGCCTTATGAATTCTCAATTTTTTCATTCGTTCTCGTTGAGCATGTAATATAACCATAGATTTTTCAATTTTCCTTCTTAATCTCAGACACAAATGTTAGAGATTCATTTAATCAGTGCATTTTCTATCACTCATTGTACAAGCCAAAATCCCAAGTATGTTTTTATTCAATTTGTTTTCAATAGATGTCACTCGAACATTTTCTCTAATATAATCATTCATTAATTTAATCTGTCATAATTTTATCACACACAAAAATCATAACATTCAAATTTCTGCCACTCAACTTAGATATCACACTACCATTATTATAGGCCAATATTCAGATCCATACTTCGTCGACCATATTGTGGTTATAAAATTTACCTCTAAACATACATAATATCCTCTTATCATATAATTGTTGAGGCACTTCTTCATTTTAACCACCAAACCTTAACTTTGAACTGCATCCTTATTTATATGTCTATTATCTATATTATAGGTTTAAATTATTAAATATATCATAGATGTCATCTTAGCTTCTAAAAACATTAAATAACAATTATTAACATCATATTAACTAAAATTATATGTATGGTATAATAAAATCAGAATAATACCAACACTTGTTAAAATTCATCCCAATGTATGACTTTATATGGCCCACATTTTTCCAACAATTATTTTTTCGAGGAATCCTAAACAAAATCTACATTATATTTTAGTTTGAATTTCATTTATCTCCAATTAACATTTTCAATAAACTTAAATTTTCATCATTAATAGAATGTTTACTACAAAAAAGTTCACACAAATCATGCAAATGCTCAATAAATGATGCAATATGATGTGAAGCAATGAGTGAAAAATGCTAAAAAAATAATATTTTTTTATTATTACTAATGAGCAAACAACTACCTCCTAAATGAGAAAAATGATGAATAAAACTTAAAAGTGATGTTTATTAGGCTACATAATTTTCTCTTGATAGCTGGTAAACCACACAAACGTGATGAACATATCATATGAACCAACAATCTATATAAAGAAAACTAATCCAAATGGCTTAATATTAGCTGTGATGAATTCTACATTTTTTATTTCAATAGATAGATATTCTTTTTTTTTTTATAAAGACAATCACCATGAATATTTTGATAGGGTGATAGCTTTAATCTCTCCGTTTGGTTCTTTTCATGAATTTGTAGATTAGATGACTAAGAATCAAAAGTAAAAATACTTTTAATTTAATCATACATCATAAGAACAATATCAACATAAATTGTCTCAAGAATTATTTTGTCAAATTGCTCAATTGATTCATCAACTTCAACCTATACAAATTTATTCTGTTTACAATCACTAATATATTCATTTTCTATTATAAATTATGGTTGACATATGATTTCAAACTTAAATTCTATCACTAGTTCACATATAAGTTCAAGTTTAACATGTTCTAATGTAAGTGAAAAATAAGATTTTGATTCATACTATAGCCGCAAATCTTCTTTAACATATAGTTTATCAACAAAAAAATATTCATGAACCGTGTTCTCTTCAATTAGGTCAAATTCAACCGCATATAATTCTTGAGTTAATCTGGGTTTGACATGCTTTAGATAAGATGAAAATTATTTTTCCTTAAAAATATCACTAATAAAAGAATAGTTATGATATTCCTCGAAATCCAAAACTCTATATTAAATTTCAAGTAGTGTTTTTGGAGAATTATATTTCAATTTATCATTAATGTCTTTCCTAAGACCTAATGACATAGATAATGATAACATAAATATCCAAGACATGATGTTTGGCTACAAGACATTCAAAACTTGCTTAAAATTCAAAGATGTCATCGTCAACTTGCTTACAATTCTTATATTATCATGCAGATGGTCCATACATTCAATAAATAAAAAATATTATTCTTTAGGTTTATGTTTCATTTCAAAACATGTAGATTTAACATTTAAAGAAATATTCCAAGTACTCATTTCAAAGTGAAAAATTCCCTAAGATTATAACTCCAATCAAAATATAAGAATATACCTATAACTATAAATCATGATAGACATGTTGTAATTATCAAGAACAATAGTTTACCCAATTAAATATAGATTGCATCATTTCTTTTTCTTTTATTTTTTGTTGATTGACTCAGTCATTATGCCTTAAACTAATCAACATAAAGTGCATTCTCAAATTTTCATTCCAAAACTAATGAAAAAACAGTATCAAGTACAAGGCTTCTTATTGCAGATTTGCAATGTGATGCTTAAAAGAAAGTGCAACCTCTCAAATTTAAAATTTGCAACCCCTTAATTCAAACAAATGCTCATTCCCTTCAATGAAACCTGCAGATTACCACTACAATGGATACTTCAATAATTGGCTATTAAAAATGATGCATATCAATTCAAATGAGATAAAATCATATGTTTAATTGAGTCATGCCAAAATCAAAAGCTACATCTTACCAAATTCAATCAAAATCAATCAGAGAAGCATGCAAATTACTAGATATTAGTGCGTGAGAACAAGAAAAATATGAATCATCAAAGAAAAACCAAGCATTGTATTGATATAAAGAGAGAACTTTCTCAAAAAAGTTATAAGGGTAGATAAAAATTCCATCCCACCTAACATCTATTGAATCAAATTATTAAAAAAAAACGTAAGAAATTAGATCCTCTTTTACATGCTCAGAGACACATTCATAAAGAAATTAAAACCCCTTTAAAGTTATATCCATTGATAACGACACATAAAATCACATGAAATAGAAACTTGAAATCTAGCCAACCTACAAACAACAAAATTCAGCATTGACTAAAATCCAATGTTTAAATCCTACATTAATTGTTGCAATGGAATGCATTAACCTTCACTGGTTAGCTACAAAACAGGTAAAATCTCACAATAATTATTGTAACAAAATGTTTTAACCCTAAATGGATTCCGCAGGAAAGTATAAATACATAACTAGTAGTACACTACCATAACAAAGCGATTGAGCCTATTAGCTTTTGATCATCTAAAGAAAACTATATCGACAAATTTTTTCGCCGCAAGAGTACATTCTGGCTACAAAGAAAACAAGGAAACAAATAAAGAGTTGTAGCTATCCACTGTCGTAAACAAGGTTCTAAAAGTCAAATCGGATACTGAGCTGGAAAAAGGAAAGGTTCAAGGTTTAAACATTCAAATGAAATTTAACTGAGATTGACCCAGACAATGCAATAAATATTTAAATTTTACTTAAATTATGTAATAATTATGTAAGAAAGTAGTTCAAACTATTCATTCCATATCATGGTAATAAGATAGAAGAAAAATCCCCTCCAAACAAAGAGAAATTCAACATTTGGTACCAGTATCCTAACATTTGAAGCACACAGGAAAGGAAATATTGGATTGTTTTGAATATGTTGCACAAAAAAAAAATTTATTCCTACAAATCCCTTTTTCAATCAAATAAATCACAAATCAATTACCATATTGTAATTTATATACAAGATGATAATATGTGAATGCACACCTTAAAATCCATGAGACTATTAATAACTTTTACATACTGACCCAGTTGTGTAGCTTCAAGTTCATGGTAACAACAATCCACACAAACTTATGCAGATCAACAACAACATCATCATCAAGCCTTTATCCCACTACATGGGGTCAGCTACATGAATCATGTTTCCCCATTGTGTCATGCTAAGAGTCAAATTGTCATTTTGATCTAATAAAGAAAAGTCATTTCTAATATTTTCTAACAATGTCATTGGTAGGTCCCAAGTCCTGGATGAGAAAAATAGAGGGTTGTGTTAAATAGTCAACAATCAGTGTATAACTTGTCGAATAATCATGACACGAATACTTTGATACAAACTTATGAAGATCCATAAGATAAAAAAGGACAAGTTAAATGAAACAAAAAAAAACAATTGCAACTAAAAAAACTAATTGCAACAAATTCAATAAGAAAAGCATTCAACAAGTTAATGATCACGGATTACATGGTAAAAACATATTAAACGTTCGGAACACAGGAAATAATCGGCTCACCTCAAATGTTGCTCGGGTACATGAAGACCCTGACTTTACGACCCTGCATAAAAAATTGAAAAAAAAAACATCTCAGATAAACATGCGAGTTTACAAATGTTTGCCTGATCCCAATGCAAACCAAAAGAACGCCATATCAACAGCAATTCTAACCATGGACTGAGGAGGCAAGTTGGTCTTAAACTTAGCCCTGACGACGCCACTGTTACCGTGAGGGCGGGTAACTTTCCCCCAAATACAGCGATAATTCGTGCCGTTCTTCTTCGTCTTAGCTTTGTAGATATACGCCATCCTCTTACCAGCATACCATCCCACCTCTTCTTTGGTATTCACGCCCTCGATCTGCACAAGCGACGTATTCTCATATTGGTTTGACTTCGACCTGTCATCAACAAAACATTATGATCCACAGCCAGAGAAATTCAACCAGAAGCTCATAAACCTAATCTATTAATCTGGAATACATAATCCTTGCCTCTTGTAGCCAAGTATCGTGCCGCGAACGTACAATCTGAAACGGAAGAAAGGGATTAGAACCAGGGAGCAAGATGATGCATAAGAACAGAAAGAGTAAATCAAATTAGGGTTAGGTTTCTCCACGGCATTTAACTGACCTGACGCGCTCGCCTTGCCTGCCCTTCACCATGTTTGCTGGGAACCTCGGTCGACGGAGCAACAGCGCGAAGAATCGGTAGCACGGAGAAACCCTAGTGGATCTAGGGATGATATGTCATATAGTACTGGGGGAACGAAGGGGATGAAAAGGCCAAATCGACTGGACGGTCAAGATTGCCTCTACGGGCTTGTTCGGGATTTTTTTTTTTTTACTCATTTTTATTTTTCAAACCTCAACTTAATCTTCATATGTTTTAAAGAGGCAATAATTTTGCTATTTTTTAGTTTATGTTTATTTAATTATTTATTTATTTATTATATTTTTTAATATCATAAAAAAAATTGGCACATGGTTCTATCAATAATAAATTTTAATCTTTTATATTATAAATTTAAATTATAAACCTTCTGATTTTATATATTATTCATCAGCAAAAGAGAGTTGAATTGAGTGAGAAATTTGAAGAGTGTGAGGACTTTGTAAACATATTATTTAAAATTTTTTTTTTTTTTTTGGGATAATTTAGGGGATTAAAT